CAGAGAGGTTGCAGCCCCCTCATCTCCATTTGTATTTTTGTCCAGCGTTGCTTCCTAGAAGCATGAAAAGAAAAAAAAAGCAAACAAATAAAGGCAACTCCATCCCCAGCCATCCCACGGGGTGGGATGCAGTGGGAAGCCCCTGGACAGTTGGAATGGGGGCTCTTTGTGCTGCCTGTGGGAGCTCCCAGCTGGACCAAGGAGAAAGAAAAATCACATAAAAAATAAACGATCCTGCCGCACTTCACTCCCCCCATCAATAACATTTTAATTTCCTGACCTGCCAAGCCCAAATCCATCGGCAGGAGCAGCCGGGGGCGGCGGCAGACGGGGCCTCATTAGTGTCACTCAGCTCTGGGCTGCCCCGCCATAAATCACCTCTCACCCTCTGCTGGCAGCAGGGCTGAATGTTGGGGGGTCCTCAACGGAAAACCGGGCTGAGGATCACTTTTAACACCTCTCTGCCCCTCGGCAAGGCGATGGGGTCCTGGCTCTCCTGCCACTGTGTTTATTGGTCTGGCACGGGCTGGATTTTGAGGGAGTTCTCGATGGAATTCTGGGCTGAGAATCACTTTTATCACCTCTCTGCCCAGTGGGAAGGTGAGGAGGGTCCAGCATGGCTGCAAATTTTGGGCCCCAGCTGTATCCTCGTGTCCCGCGTCCCCGCACCCAGTCTGCATCCCAATCTGTGCCCCAACCTGCATCCCAACCTACATCCCAGCCTGCATCCCAACCTGCATCCCAACCTGCATCCCAACCTACATCCCAACCTACATCCCAACCTGCATCCCAACCTGCATCCCAACCTACATCCCAACCTACATCCCAACCTGCATCCCAGCCTGCGTCCCAACCTGCATCCCAACCTGCATCCCAACCTGCATCCCAACCTACATCCCAGCCTGCATCCCAACCTGCATCCCAACCTGCATCCCAGCCTGCATCCCAACCTGCATCCCAACCTGCATCCCAACCTACATCCCAGCCTGCATCCCAACCTGCATCCCAACCTGCATCCCAGCCTGCATCCCAACCTGCATCCCAACCTGCATCCCAACCTGCATCCCAGCCTGCATCCCAACCTGCATCCCAACCTACATCCCAGCCTGCATCCCCCGCCGTGGTCCAGCTCCAAGAGGATGCTCTTGGCGGGGAAGAGTTGCAGGGACTCCATCAAAACCCCGCCTGAATTTCATTCGGCTGCACAAACCCCGAGCGGTGCTGCGGGAAGGGAGCGGGACACAACTAAACCAGGCTCGGGCGGGAAAAGGTCGAGAAAGGAAGGGGAAAAAACCCCAAACTGCATCTCTGTCACACGCTCTGCGGGGAAAAGGCACCCAGGGAGGGCTGATTTGGGGGTGCGGGTTTGCTGCGAGCTCCCCCCAGCTCAGGGCGCGGTGCTGGTGTGAGGGATTGTGAAGGATTGTGAAGGATTGTGCGGGATCCCGGGATGATCCCGGGATGATCCCGGGAAGGCCGCGGGCGGGATTTCCCCCGGCGGCGCCGCTGACGCCGAACGCGGAACGGCCCCTTTTGGGCGCGCGGAGCCGCCGTCCGAGGGGGTCACGTGGTGACGCGGCTGCCCGGAGCGGGGCGGAAGTGGCGGCGGGGCCATGGAGGGGACCCTGGAGCAGCACCTGGAGGAGACGTGGGGACGGGGGGACACGGGCGGGACGCGGGGGGGGACGGGGTGACACGGGGGACGCGGGCAGGGCCGGAGGGGGGATGGGGGAGCGGGGCTGGGCCGGCCTGACGCCCCGGCGGGCGGAGGTCCCGGCCCTGACCGCGCTGTGTTCCCCCAGCATGAAGAGCCCGGCCGTGGTGGGCGTCCTGTGCACCGACTCGCAGGGGCTCAACCTGGGCTGTGAGTGAGCGAGCGCCGCCGGAGGCCGGGGCCGGCACGGGCCCTCCGAGGGCTTGCGGGGCTGGGGGCACCGGGGGTGGGGGTGCCGGGTCCTGCCATCCCATCTGAGGGCTCCCGGGGGTGGGGGCGCCGGGTGCTGTCCCACGGGGACCCCGGTCTGGGGGGCACCAAGACCCGCCCAGTCCCTTTAAGAGCTCCCGGGGGTGGGGGACAGCTGGTCCTACCCCGAGGGGGTCCCCGGCGTGGGGGCCCCTGGCTCCTGCCCATGCCCCCTAAGGGCTCTTATGGGTGTGAGGCCCCGGGCTGGGGGTCCCCAAACCCTGCCCATCCCCTGTAAGGACTCCGCGGGGAGGGGGGGGCACCAGGACTGGCCCTACTGGAACCCCCCACCCCGTTTGGGGGTACCTGGCCTTGTCCTGCGTGAACCCCACTTTGGGGACACCAGGCCCTGCCCTGCTGTCCTGGCCCCACCTTTGGGTGTCCCCAGGGGCCACCACCCACCTGTACTGCGGAGGAAACCAGAGCCGGCCCTTCCTGCCACCGAAATTCAGGACATTTTGGTGGTTTGAGAGCAAGTCTGGGGAGACGCCACATCAGCCCACAGGGAGGGAAATGGGCTGAGGCGGGATCAGCCCCCCTTGGCCCGGGGGAGGCAAATGGGTTTCACCCGGAGCTTTTTCCATCGTGTCCCCCTCCAGGCCGAGGGACTCTCTCTGACGAACACGCCGGGATCATTTCCGTGCTGGCCCAGCAGGCGGCCAAGCTCAGCTCGGACCCCACGGACACCCCGGTGGTGTGCCTGGAGTCGGACACCGGGTAAGTTCCCAGCCTGCCGGGGCCACTTTTTCCCCCGTTTTCCTTTTCTCCAGCCCTGGGAGCCTCCTGGAGTCAGATCTCGGGAGCAGGTCCTGGAGGAAGCCCCAGCTCTGAAGCTGTGGAGGAGGCACTGCCACAGGCACAGGGATTCACTGGATTAACAGGATTTTAAGAGGCAGGAACTGTAAAAGCAGTGGGAAAGCTTTTGGGAGGGGGGTGGTTACTGCAGCTCTGTTCTTTTCCACACTTGGGATCCCTGTGGTAACTCAGGCGGTGCTGTGGGAGTCAGTGTGGCAGCAGGGATGGCTCCAGTTCACAGAGTGGGAAGGGAGGCAGGATCTGGCTTGGAGCTGGGGCTGCTGCAGCTGCTGAATGATCCCGGGTCCAGTTCCCACCTCCACCAGCTCCTCCTCCCCTCCCTCAGCACTTTCTCCTTGTTTTAGGAACATCATGATCCAGAAGCACGACACCATCACTGTAGCAGTGCATAAGTTGGCATCCTGATCCTTGGGAACCAGCTGCACTCCCAGCCCCTCCTCCCTGCACAACCCTGCACTCCAGCTCCAGTTTGGAACCCCAGTCCTGGGGTGAAGGCTCTCCCTCTCTTCTGAACAGCTCCTGTGCAGCTCTCCAGGTCTCCAACTCCCACTGTAGCACTTGTGGTGCTGAGGGTGACACGTGGTCACTCACCCAGCCTGTGGAAGGTCAGATCCTACCAGGTGCATGTGTGTTGTTGGTTGGAGAAATCAATAAATGACCTGTAAAAACACCCTTTTGCTTCTCTTTGGTCCACTGTGGGAGCTGGGCCTGGTGCTTTGTTTCCAAAGCCAAGTGAGGTAGCTTCTCCCACTCCCTTCATTAGCATTTCTCTAGAGAAGAGAGTGGAATTAATGGAGGCTCCTCCAGCAGGAAAGGTACAAACACTTCCCAAGGAATTTCTCCTGGGAAACGTTTCACCTCCTCGAGTTAAACATTCTGTGGGAGAATTTCTTGCTCACTGTGCCTTGGATTAAAGCTGGATGTGCTGGCCCTGTGTGAGCTGGAAATGGATGTTGGCAACATCCTCACAAACCCAGCCCCCAGATTTGAAACAGTGCAGGGAAACAATCCTGAAAAAAGCCCTGGGAAGCTGCTACACTCCAGTGCTTCCTGTGTGGCAGGGAGAGAAAAGGAGCTGAGCTGCAGCTGGTCTCATGCAGGAGGGGAAGGGAAGTTTCATAGCAGAGCATGAGGTGAAAATTGGGCTGGGTCAGAGAGAAAATGGCATTCAGGCTGCTCTGACTGGACTCCAACGAGCTGCTCTGTTCAACAGTGCCAGTGCCAGTCCCCCATGGAACAGGCAGGAGGGGGCTCTGCACGGCTGAGTCCACAGTCCTGTCCAGCTCAGTGTTAATTCTCAGTAAAGCCCTGAGATCTCTGCATGCCCAACTCTGTGGTGGCCTCAAAGAGTCCTTCTCTGCTCTACCTACATCCCACCAAGGCGGAGCAGCTGGAGCTGGAGTATTTCCCCCTGGAATTCCAAGAGCTCTGAGTGCAGATGCTGCTGCTCCCAGCCCCTGCTGCCCCCCCTCTCCTTCAGGCCCTTAAACCACCCTCCCTGCAAACCCCATCCCATGTAAATAAAGTCTAATACAAGTATTAAAAGTCTTCCTACAGGGAAAGCTCAGAGACTCCCTTATTTCTTGGGCTCCTCTGGAAAGATGGAACTTTGCCAAGGGAGGGAGCAGAGATCAGTATCGGTGTCCCCCAGTGATCCCAGTTTTCTCTGACCTCAGGAATGCCGACTGGGGTGCCAGTCAGCCCACAGCAGGGCAGGAAGCACGAGGGCCATGTTTATCCAGGAGCTGGGGCACGTTTACAATGGGGGCAGGGAGCCAACCCCAACCCCGCTGATTCCCGGGGCTGCAGCAGCACAGCTGCTCCATCCCAGCTGCTCCATCCCAGCTGCTCCATCCCAGCTGCTCCATCCCGCTGGAAATGCCGAAGTTTTCCAGACTATCCCCTCCTAAATGACAGCTTCCCAAGCCAAGGGCTGGGCAGGACGGGCAGGGACAGGCCTGGATCCAGTCCAGCACTGCCACCTCCGCTTCGTTCCTCCGGCCACATTCAAAGCTTTCCCTGGAGTTACAACCCTTGCAGGCTTCCCCTCCTCTTTCCCAACAGGATTTCTGCTCCCAACGCCCTGGATTTCCTGCTCCCAGCTGGGGAAGGGGAGGGACTCTGGCCTTGTGGCCTAACAGAGAGGAGGAGGAGGGGGAGGAGGATGGGCTCTGTAACTCAGCCCCAGCGCTTGCCAAGCTCCACGTTCTGCTTTGGGGCTTGCAGGAAGGACAGACACCATCATCCTCTCGGGATGTGAAGGAAGGAGCAGACTTTGGGCTGCCAAGTCAGGAAGGGGGGATTTAGGCTCTGGAGCAAATGAAGAGACAATTCCTCTTCACCATCGACTGTTCTGGGGAGGATTTTCCAGCATGTGGCAGCAAGGAGGTAAGGAAAGATTTCAGGATCATCAGCCCCAGCTGCTCCAGGGTCCAGCTGCTCCCTCGGGCAGGATCCTGCCTCTGCCAGAGGGGATGGGAGACAAGCAGAGGATGGGATTGGAAGAGCTTCCCGGGAGCTCAAAACTGGATCAGACAGACGTGACCCCCTGACTGGGGGCACAAACCAAACTGCTAAAGCTGTAAAGGTGCTTCACCTCAAAGCCCTTAAAGCTTAAGTCGTTACAGTAATTTGGTGGGAAAGAGAAAGGATATTAAACAGTTTCCAGGCAGGGATAATGTGTAATTTAACATCCCTTGTCAACAAAAGCTGGTGGATCTTCCCCCACCTTCCAAACTGAAGGCAGAGTGTGGGGTTTGCTCCGGCAGCAGCCAAGGGGTTCCTGCCTTCAGGGGAACAGCTTTTGAACTGAAACAGCACCGCAGGAAGGTGTTAATGTGTCCTGAAACTCCCATTTCAGGGGAAAGGAAGGAGCATGAAGAGCCTGAGGAAGCTGGGAAGAGCCCAGGGGCTGGAGCAGCACATGGAGGGTGGGCTTGGGCAGTGGTGCTTCACTTCTTCCTGGTAAGCACAGAATAAATCCCTCTGAGGCAAAGCCTCAAATCTCACTCAGAGGACAGGACAGGCTGATCCCACCCAGCTTCATCCTTCCCTATGGAATGGCAGCTGCAAACATCCCAGGGATGGACGTGAGGGTCCCCAGCCCACAGCCCAGGGCCAAAGGCACCTTGCAAGGATAAAATGACTGTTCTCTACTCAAACACACCCCACTGGGGAGTCCTGTCCCTTCAGAAAGGGTGGGATCCCACCTTGGGCAGTGAGATGGAGCCAGGGGTTGACTGAGAGCAGCACACACACACTTGGGACTCCCTTCTCCACTCAAAGGCACCAATTCTCCATTCCACAGGATTTAACACCACACAATCTTCCCACCAGTGATGAATCAAGGAATGCTTAAGGCTGGAAAAGATCTTTAAGGTCGTCAAGTCCAACTGTAATGAAGGCACCACCCCCCAAGCTGGGAAAGCTTTCCCCAGTTCCACCCCATCCCAAGTAACTTGCTGCCAATCATTAACCCCCTGCTACCAGGGAGGTGAGAGGGAGTTAAAATTAAGGACACAAAGTGTGTGTCCTTTGCTCCCATGGCAGCACAAGCCTGGGAAACTGCCCTGGATAACATCCATCCTGCTCCTCTCACCCCCTCATCCACTCCCAGGGATCTTCAGCAGTGCCAAGACCCATTTAATTGTTGCTTTAGTATTAAAAAGTAACTCACAGAGCAAATATATCCTGGAAGAGTTGGGTTCTAGTGTGATTTTTGTTTCTTTTTCATAGAAAAGGCAGTTTGTAGAGGGGTTTTTGAGGGTCTGTTAAGATGAAACTGCAGCACGGCCACCATGAGCTCACCCTGCTGACAATCCCCAACAGCAGCTCAAGTGTCCCAGTTTGTTCATCATCATAACAAATTACCCACACGAGAAAAGCAAAAAGAAAAGCTTTTCCTCCCTCCTGATCCCCTGTGGCTCCTCACCTCTGTCTGCTCCTGACTCAGGTCAACGTCCTCGTGATGGGGATGCTCAAGACCTTTGGGATTTTCTTTGTGGCTTTCCGAGAGGAGGTGGGGGGCTCCTCTGAGCAGGTCAGCTGGATTGGCTCCATCATGTCCTCCCTGCGCTTCCTAGGAGGTGAGTTGGCATTCCCAAGGACTGGGACAGTGCTTCAACCCCAGGCACATTTGCTGTAAGAGCACTGATGATGTTCTGCACATCCAATTCCCTTCCCAGACTGCTCCAAGCTGGACATGGTTGGTACCCACACGTGACTTCGCAGGAATGTGGTCTAAAGATGGGGTTGTGTGTCATTTAGATGGGATATTGGGAAGGAATCCTTCCCTGGGAAGGTGGTGAGGATGGAATTCCCAGAGAAGCTGTGGCTGCCCCATCCCTGGAAGTGTCCAAGGCCAGGTTGGACGGGGCTTGGAGCGACCTGGGCTAGTGGAAGGTGTCCCTGCCCATGGCAGGGGGTGGAATAGGTTGAGCTTCAAGATCCCTTCTGATCCAAAAGATCCTGGGATTCCAGGATTCTGGAGCCCCTCTGCTCTGGAGCCAGGCTGGGAGAGCTGGGAATGTTCCCCTGGAGAAGAGAAGGATCCAGGGACACCCTGGAGCCCCTTCCAGGGCCTAAAGGGGCTGCAGGAGAGCTGGAGAGGGACTGGGGACAAGGGATGGAAGGACAGGACACAGGGAATGGCTTCCCACTGCCAGAGGGCAGGGATGGATGGGATATGGGGAAGGAATTGGCTGTGAGGGTGGGGAGGCCCTTTTATCACCTTCAGCCTGAGCTCTGTCCCTCTCTCCTTTGCAGCCCCGCTCGTGTCCATCGTGTGCCGGGGGCTGGGGGAACGTCCCACCTCCCTCCTCGGGGCCGGGCTGGTGGTTGGGGGGTGCCTGGTCAGCACCCAGGCCACCAGTGTCCCCTTCCTCTGCGTCTCCATGGGACTCCTCCTGGGTGAGCAGCCTCACACACCTTTCCCTGGGCACCACGAAGGAATCGGCTCCTTTAACCTCAAAGCTGGGGAAGGGTCTGCAGGGGAAGCGGAGGGCACACGGATTGTTCAGCTGCACAAGAGGAGACAGGTCAGAGCTCCCTCAGAGGGGCAGAACCATCTCTGCTCTGGGGGAGCAGGGACAGCACCCAGGGAATGGCTGGAGCTGTGTCAGGGCAGGCTCAGGTCGGATCTCAGGAAAAGGTTCTTCCCCCAGAGGCTGGTTGGGCACTGAAGCCCAGGGAATGGGCACGGCCCCAAGGCTGCCAGAGCTCCAGGAGGGTTTGGACAACGCTCTCAGGGACAGGGTGGGATTGCTGGGGTGTCTGTGCAGAGCCAGGGGTTGGACTGATGATCCCTGGGGGTCCCTTCAACTCAATTATTTTGTGATTCTGTAAACCTCGAGTGGCAAAGCATCCCCAGCTCCTTTCTATGAGATGATGTGTGAACCCTCAAAACTCCATGCTCAGGAGAATAAAACACAGTTTCAACACACTAGACCCAACTAACTCTGATTTTTTTCTGGCTCCAACAAATCCTGGCCTTTTAAAACTTCTCACTAAAAGGGCACAGCCTCCAACCCCCCAGACATTTAACACCACACACAAAACCTCGTTCTCCACTGACTCCAAGAGCAGAAACCCCACGTTCAGGGGAAACCCCCCAGGAATGCTGCATCCCAGAGCCTTGGCATGGCACGACTTAAAATTCCAAGAGCTCACGACACAGTTTGGGCACAGATGTGTCATTTCTGACCTTCCCCCAGGGCTGGGCTTTTCCTGCCTGTACCAGGCGGCCGCAGTGATGACGGCCAAGCGCTGCCGGGCACGGCTGGGCTTCTCCAACGCCCTGGCCCGTTCTGGGATGGGGCTCACCTTCCTCATGGCACCATTCACCCAGCTCCTCCTCGACTTCTATGGCTGGCAAGGTGAGTGATCTCCTGCTTAGCCAAATTTATCAGCACTGAGAGGGCGTTTGGGGAGAGCTGGGCACGGGAAGAGGCTCCTTTTAAAGATTAAAATTCAACAGCTCTGCCTCTTCCAGGATGGTTTGGGGACATCTTAATGATTAAACACCTAATCACGCATTAAAATCGGCGTCAAAACAGAGACCTGAGAAATCAAACCCCAAAATCCCTCCTTTTACTGCAGTTTCATGCCATCTTGAAGGTCCATCACAACTTCTAATGAGGGTAAACAAAACAAGCTCCCAGATCCCAGAGGCAGCTCTGGATTTGTTGTGTGCATCAGAGCAGAAAGGACTTCTAGGCAGAAAAACAGGAATAAAACTTCCTCTTTTGTTACCTCCTCCATAAGGAGGGGGCAAAATGCCTTCTCCCTGTGGCAGACTTTCTCCATGTTCAATGCATGGCCTGTTATAAAAGCTTATTTTCTACTGTACCTCCTTCTCACTCCAAGAATAAAACACCTCCTGTCCTCCCTCAGGAACTCTCCTGATTTTTGGAGGCATCATGTTGAACCTGGTGCCTTCCAGCCTGTTGCTGAGACCCATCAGCACCCGACACTCCTCTGCCAAGACCCAAGACTGTGAGTCACCAATGGCACAGAAGGACCCAGAAACTCCTGATGGATGTTTAGATGGAACCACTGACAAGGAATTACACCCTCACAAGGCACAGGAGCTTCCCACCACAGAGAGACTCCTGATGTCCCACGGCAAAGATGTCTCTGATCCCACAAATCCATCTGCTTTGGGAAAGCTGGAGAAACCCACCCCAGGCAGATCCTCACCAGAAACGGCCACAGGGGCCAAGAGAAGCAACAAACCCCTTTCAGCAACCAAAAAAGAAACTTCTCAGCCTCTCCTGGACTTGTCCCCCCTGAAGGATCCCGTTTTCTTCATCTTCACGTGGTCTTTTTTGTTCAGCCACCTGGCCTATTTCGTGCCCTTCTTTCACCTGGTGGCAAGAGCCAGGACCCTGGGAATGAGCAGCATGGATGGCTCCTACCTCATCTCAGTGGCTGGTAGGCAAAGGAACCTTTTAAACCCATTTCAGAAGAGAAAACCAACCCAAATTTTGCCAAGAAATAGTCCCAGATATGTCCTAGAAGGAATCCTCCTGGCAGAGGTTGAGCTCACAGCCCTGATCCCTCTGTATATTCAGAATCACCTTCTGGACAGCACAAGTTGCTCTCACAGGGTGGGTGGTTCTCCCAACCCAACGTGGATGATTCCCCATCCTCCCTGCTCCCAACAAACCCAATTTTCCAGTAAAAAGGTGCTCTCTGTCCTCCTGGAGCCTTCTCACCACCATCCCTGCCTTGCTTAAACCCACAACCCACAGAAATCACTCAGAACCCAAAGAGCTCCAGTTTGACCCAGGAGAGAAAAATTCAATATTGTGGAAAAAATCCACCTCCAAGGGGTGGTGGAAAAACCAACCTAAACTCCCCCAAAAACAACCCCATGCCTGGTTATAAACTGGGATTAACACGCTGGGTTAAGAAAGCAGCTCCAATCTCAGTCATATTCGAATATTTTATTGTACAAAAATACATTTTCCTTCTACAGAGCTGTGGGATATTTAGCAGTGATGTGCTGTCAAGGGATTTAGGAGAGCCCAGAAATTCAGGTGGTATTTTGAATTAAGAGTAGGAGGGACACAGTGGTGCAAGACACGAGCTGACAGTGAGCTCTCCTCTGATCTTTGGTTCATAAAAATGTATCGAGAAATGTAAAAAAAACAAGTATCAAAAGTTTGCTGAGCCTTTAAAGAAATGCTGGGCAATTGGCTTCTTTAGAAAAATTAAAATCTCATGCACATATTTCTTAATATTCTGCTTTTTCTCCATCTCAGAAAAGGGATCAGACAGCAAGTCTCTCTCCCCTGTTTTTACTGAAGGGCATTTCAGAGATTTCTGCTGAGTGCAGAGCCCTTGACTGAATTTTTACCGATTGGTAATAGCTGGGGAAAGGCAAAAAAACCCCAAATATCAATTTTACAACAGCCTAAAAACACCTTCCTGCAACTTTTTGGCGCTTCAGCCCTTTGTGGTCGTAGCGGGCAGGTGAAACTGGGATGTGCCACAAGGAAAAAGAGGAGAAACTCTCCCCAGTGAAGCGTTTTCTGAGGCTCTGGTGGCTCCTGTTCCCTCAGGCATCACGGAGATGCTGAGCCAGCTGCTCTCGGGCTGGGTGGCCGACCAGAACTGGACCAAGAAGTACCATTTCCACGTGACTTACCTGGTCCTGAGCGGGGTCACAAACCTCCTGGGGCCCCTGGCCACGACGTTCCCGCTGCTCCTCGCCTACACCGTGGCCTTCTCCGTGTGCTGTGGGGGGTTCATGGCTCTGGTGCTCCCCGTGCTGGTGAGTTGTGCTGATCTGCTCCCAACCCCAGAATTGTCTGGAACACACAGGGATCGGTCATGGAAGGATCTGGCTGGAGTGAATCCAGAGAGGCCACAGGGATGCTCCAAGGGCTGGAGCCCCTCTGCTCTGGAGCCAGGCTGGGAGAGCTGGGAATGTTCCCCTGGAGAAGGGAAGGCTCCAGGGACACCTTGGAGCCCCTTCCAGGGCCTAAAGGGGCTCCAGGAGAGCTGGAGAAGGACTGGGGACAAGGGATGGAGGGACAGGAGACAGGGAATGGCTTCCCACTGCCAGAGGGAGAGTTAGATGGGATATGGGGAAGGAATTCTTTCCTGGGAGGGTGGTGAGGGGCTGGGATGGAATTCCCAGAGAAGCTGTAGCTGCTTCATCTCTGGAAGTGTCCATGGCCAAGCTGGATAAACTTGGAGCAACCTGGGATGGTGGGAGGTGTCCCTGCCCATGGCACTGGAGGAGCTTTAAGGTCCCTTCCAGCCCAAACCATCCCAGGATTCCATGATCAGGATGAGGAGGTATAATCATAATTTGGCATTTCTTTCTAGGAAGGCATTTACAGTTTAAAACACCTTCCTCAAAGTCTTATTGTCTGAAAGTCAGAAAAGTATCTCACATCCCAGTAATTTCCATCCTGGCCTTAAGGAGGCGAAGGGATTCCAGGCTGGATCAGACCCACGGGGGGCAAAGTCCTTCCAAAGCTGCAGCTGAAGAGGAAACTCCCCAGGAAAAACATCAATTAGTCTCTTGTGCTTTAAAAACAAATCAATAAATCTCTTCTGTTTACATATTCCCATGAAATCCATCACTAATGATCCATTTTGGTTTACCAACAGGTGGATCTGGTGGGTGTGGAAAAGCTCCACAGCTACCTGGGGTTTGCTGCCTTCTTTGCAGGGATAGCAGCCATTGGAGGACCTCCTCTGGCAGGTAAATACTATATATAATATAATATAATAAATATAATATAATTAATATAATATAATATAATATAATATAATATAATATAATATAATTAATATATTATACTATAATAAATATAATATAGTATAATAAAATAAAATATAATATAATATAATACAATACAATGTAAAAATATAATATAAATATAATCTAATATAAATATAATATAAATATAATACAATATAATATACTTTATTAGAATATACAATATATATTATACATTCTATATTGTGCACTCTATATTATAAACGTTAATATTACGTATTCTTATACATCTCCAATATTAAATATGCATATATTTTATATATAATTTATACTATATAGTATAATATTATATGTATTTTATATATATATATGCACACACACCCTCCACACATCCTGTGACAAAGAGTGCTGCTGGTTCACTCTCCCACATGGATCCATCCTGGTTTTCTGTTCAAATAGGGGGGGTAAAATCCTATTTCAGGAATGTCTTTCCACACAGGCAACGTTTTGCTGGGGAATTTGCAAAACCCAACGAGCAGCTTGGGAAATGTGCCCAGTTTAACCCCGAGCACAGCAGGACAATGACCCCATCCCCGTGGATTTCCCCCCAGCAGTGTTGGAGTTAACACTGAGTTTGGACTGGAGAGGAGGGAAGGAGAGGGAGGTGCAGCAGGGATGGGCTCAGCAGCATTCCCATAAAACAGAGGCTCTGGAACATCAGGAAAAGCCTCAATAATCTCTCGTTTGGGGACAGATCCCAGAGCTCAGCCCTGAGAGCTGCTGGGCCCAAAGTCAGGGAGGATGAAAAGCTTTTCCCCTTCTTCCTCTGCCAGGAAAACAAGGCACTGGGGAGGATCTGGCACATCTCAAGCTCTTAGAAGTGAGTCTCCCACCTCTGCTTGGGAACACGGGAATTGTTCTCCTCCAAACTGCTTGGCCAGGACAGAGCTTTTCCTGTCCCTGGGATATTTTCCTCTCCCTGCATTTTCCAGCCCAGAAAAATTCCACAGTGGGGGCAGCAGGGGAGGGGGGATTCTGCCCCTCTGCCCTGCTCAGGTGAGACCCCCCTGCAGAGCTGCCCCAGCCCTGGGAACAACAGCAGGAGGACGTGGAGCTGCTGGAGAGTCCAGAGGAGGCTCCGGAGATGCTCCCAGGGTTGGAGCCCCTCTGCTCTGGAGCCAGGCTGGGAGAGCTGGGGGGGTTCCTCTGGAGAAGAGAAGGATCTGGGGAGACCTGAGAGCCCCTTGCAGGGCCTAAAGGGGCTCCAGGAGAGCTGGAGAGGGACTGGGGACAAGGGATGGAGGGACAGGACACAGGGAATGGCTTCCACTGCCAGAGGGCAGGGAGAGATGGGATATTGGGAAGGACACTGAGGTCCTGGAGCAGGTCCAGAGGAGAGCAACGAGGCTGGGGAAGGGACTGGAGCACAAGTGCTGTGAGGAGAGGCTGAGGGAGCTGGGGGGGCTCAGCCTGGAGAAGAGGAGGCTCAGGGGAGACCTCCTCACTCTCTGCAACTCCCTGCCAGGAGGGGGGAGCCAGGGGGGGTTGGTCTCTTTTCCCAGGCAATGAACAGCAAGACAAGAGGGCTCGGTCTTCAGCTGAGCCAGGGGAGGGTTAGGTTGGAGATTAGGAAGAATTTCTTTGCAGAGAGGGTGCTCAGCCCTTGGAATGGGCTGCCCAGGGAGGGGGTGGATTCTCCATCCCTGGAGGTGTTGAAGCACAGACTGGATGTGGCATCAGTGCCATGGGCTGGGAACCACGGCGGGGTTGGATCAAGGGTTGGACTGGATGATCTTGGAGGTCCCTTCCAACCCAGCTGATTCTGTGATTCCATGAATCCTTCCCTGGGAGTGTGGTGAGGGACTGGCACGGAATTCCCAGAGGATGCCCCATCCCTGCAAGTGCCCAAGGCCAGGCTGGATAAACTTGGAGCAACCTGGGATGGTGGGAGGTGTCCCTGCCCGTGGCACTGGAGGAGCTTTAAGGTCCTTTCCAACCAAACCATCATTTGTTGCCTCCTGCCCTCCAAATCTCCAGGCCTGCCAAGGCCCCTGGCTGGAAGCTGCCAAGGATTCTGGAAATCCCAGCTCAATGGGAAGTTTTAGCAGGGCCAGCACAGGCAAAAATTGATTTTTCTAATCAGTATCTCCGGGCTGGTAAAACTCTGTCAGTGGATCCAACTTCGAGCAGCCCAAACATTTTCATTTATATTTTATTTCATGGACAGGGAGCTCCCCCCTGTCAGGGGGATGAACTGCCTGGGGGAGAGATCTCTGCTGGCACGGGAGGAATTCCCAGCACAAAGCAATCCCTCGGAGCTCCCTGCCACGGGCAGAGCATGGAAGGAGCTGAATAACTTGGCTGCCTCTTACTGCAGTTTTATTTCCATGCCCTTGCAGTGTATTTTCATGAACTGGAAGCCTTTTGCTTCCTGAAGTGCTGCATTTCCGGATTGTGGAAAACAAGGTTTCCAGTAAAAAGCTTTTTTTCCAGCTTTTTCGTGATTTTTCCAGATTTTTAAGATATCTGGCTTAATGCTGGTGGGATAAAGAAAGGCCAAACAGAGCCAGGAAATAAAACTCTCACTGATCCACCCAGAGGGAAACAATTGAGAGTTCAAGATCCAGGTTATTTATTAATTCATTTGTTAATTTATTGTTCAGTTATTAATTTATCCAAATAAATTCTTCCATTTTCTCATGAAAACTGAATATAACCAGATGCTACTGATGAAGTGTCCAAACCCAGAGTTCAGGATTTGGGGTTTGGTGCTCTGACCTCCCTAAACCTTAAGAATTAGGATTTTATAACATTCAAGTGCTTTTATGCAGCAAAACCTGACGGATAATGAGAACTGCAAAGGTTAAAATGGTCAGAAATATTAAAATAATATGATATTATATATAATTTCAAATATATAATATATAGTATTACATAATGCAACAATATACTATATACAATATTATATATTGTTATGGTATAGCTACTGTAATATTTTAACAATAATTAAATCTGTCATATACTCTATAAATTATATAATTTATAAGAATATTTATTAAAACAAAATATTTGTAAATATTTTTAAAACACAAAAATGTAAATTCATTTTATCACTTTTTATAAAATTATAAAATTTCATTAAGATTTATCAAAATATTTATAACAGTATTATAAAAACTATAAAATATATAAAATATCGGATGTAAAATAAGTGTATTTAAAATTAATAATATTTAAAATAGTAGATGTAAAATAAGTGTATTTAAAATTAATAATATTTCAAATATTATTATATTGCACATTAGAAAGCCCAATGCAAGGAAAGGTGACTTACCTGCAAATCTGTCCAGCGAAAAGCCCAGAGGGAAAAGTCTGGAATGTCCTTTGGAGCTCCCCATCCACCAGCAGCACTGGAAAAACCCCTCAAATCAAATCAGAAAAACATTATTTTGGCTTGTTGTGTTTCCACAAGCAGCACAAATCATTAACTCAAAGTGCAAAAGAACGGAATATAACACGATCCAAATTACAGGACACATATATCACCCGAATTTCAGGATATATTCTGCCTACAGCCCCCGTTTCAGGACCCAAACTGCAGCCCAGGGAGGCTGGGTGCTGGGAGGGGGAGGATGGGCCCCCCCAAAAGCTGGGCTGGCACTTTGCTTGGCATTCTACCTTCCCCTGCCCACTGCACTTTCCACCTCAGGGCACCAGGAATAACTTCAACCACCTGATCCCAGCAGTGCCAGGAATGTTTCCTCTGCAGTGCTGTGGTGCCTGGCATTTACCAGCATTCCTTCCAAAACTGCTGCTTGGACACCAGCAGCTTCTAATTCGGCTTCTGGCAGCAGGAAGGATTATTTTTGAATGTAAATATACAGAATACAGAAAACATGTCAAATATATATAATATATAAAATATATAAAACATACCTAATACATATTTTTAATATAACTATATAGGATGTATAAAAGTATATATCTTAATATTAACATATAGAATATATAAAAATATATATATATAGAATATATAGAATATATAGAATATATAGAATATATAGAATACATAGAATATATAGAATATATAGAATATATAAAATATACAAAATATTAAATTTATAAAATGTATGTTGAATGTGTAAAATATACATAATATGTATTTTTAATATAAGTATATAGAATATATAAAATATATTGATACATGGAAAAATATATAAATATGTATTCTATATACAAAATATAGAGAATATATATAATATAGAATATAGATATACATAATATATATGAAATATATAATATATATGAAATATATAATATATAATATATATATTGAATATATATGTTGAATATATAAATATAGAATATATATTTTGATATAAATATATAGAATATATAGAATTTATGGATACATGAAAATACACATATAAAATATATATATATATACAATATATATAAAATATAGAGAATATGTAGAATATATAAAACATGTAATATATTTACTATATGAAATATATAGTATATAAAATATATATATTTCTTATACAAATTGGGGCACAGACCCTGGAGGTGCTTTAAAGGTGTGATGTGGTGGGAGGTGATGCTGTGCTGCCACTGAGGAGGCAATGTTGGAAAATCCCATTGCTCCTCATTCCCACTGGTCCCAAAAAATCCCCCTCAACCCACAGGAAAATCAAAAAATACTCTGAAGGACATATTAAAAATAAGGATAATTTATCCTTAATTTAAGGAAGGATAAATTACCAATAATTCCAATAAATCTGAGCTCAGCTGGAGCTCTGTCCTGACCATCTCCCAGAGGGTTGGATCAGCATCCCTTCTCCTCTCCACATCCCAGAGACTTCCAGGCAGGAAAACCAGCCCCCACCTTGGAGAACGAAGCCCTCGGGGTCCCGGAATGTCAGCCAGTCTCCGAGTCCAGCAACACAGCAGCCCCTTCTCCAGCAGCTCCAGCCTCTCCTGTGCTGTGGCTCCCACGAAATTCCTGAAAAAACCCCAGAGAAACTGCCCTGAGAAAGGACTGAGCCAGGAGGAACTGAAAGGGGGGAAGAGCAGCTTCTCCTGCCTTTCTAAAGCCTTCCTGCAGCCGGGGAAACCCACGGCGAGGGAACGGCAGCTCCACCTCTGAGCCCCACATTTCACGTTCAGGCCCCTTTTCTTCCCTTGCCTGGGCATTAAAGCTCCCACAGGGCCAGGCCCAGGATCTCAGGGATGCTTCATGTTCCTTCCCGGGTTTAAGAATCCCAGATTTAGGCCAGACCTGCTGTTTGTGTAAATCCTGGAAGCTCATGGATGTCCCCAAAGGAATTTCACTTCACCAGAAGCAGGTCTGGCTCAGCTGCTCCCCCCCCTCCCGTGCCAGACTTGGGAGTGTGTCAGGATCTGATCACGTGCAGCAGCATCTCCCATCACTCCGGATATTTTAGATTCCACCAGAGGAATTATCCCCCTTTCCAGTGATTGCCCACATTTGCCAGAACTAAACACAACACTTGGAGGTCACTTTAAAAGGTGACCCTCGCAGATTCCTGAGGCTTTATGGAATTCAGCTTTTCCTTTTAAGTCCTCACAAAGCTGCTTTTAAGGAAGTCCATTCCCAGCTCCTGGCCTGGGGTCTCTCATTTAGACAGGCTGAGTTAAATTGGGGCTGAAGAAAACTGAATTAAATTGGGGCACAAGAAAAAAGGCTGGAGAAACGAGGGGTTTGCAGCCCAGATGTTGGAAACACCAACACGTGCAAGTCATCCTGTCATTCCACTGGGATCTTCCACCTGCTCAGGCATCCTGCTTTTGGCCCACTTAAACAGGGGAAAAAAAAAAAATCAGGGCTTAAATTCAATCAAATTAAACCCAATGCCCACAACAAGGATCAAAGGTGGCCCTGGGAAGAAAGACACACTTAGTGCTGACTGGAAATGCTGCCCAGGAAGAGCTTAAATAACTGAGGAATTCTGAAAGGAGAACACACAACCTTTGCCTCCCCCCCACCCTTTTCCAGTGAGAGAAATCCCAGAGCTTTAACCCCAGCCTTGTCTCCTCAGGTTGGCTCTACGACTACACCCAGAGCTACGTGTGCTCCTTCCTCCTCGCCGGGGCCTGTGCCCTCCTCTCCCCCCTGTCCTTCTGCCTCGAGCCCTGGGCACAGAGAAGGAAGCTCAGCCCCAGGGCTGGCTGAAGGGGAAGGCTGGGCTGGAGCTGGACCCACAGAGGCAAAGCCATGGCCAGCACGGCCCAGCTGTCCTGGGAATACCAACACAGCAACAGTGGGAACGGGAATTTCAGAGGAGAGGTTCAGTCTGAATACCTGGGTATTCCTCCTGATTAGATTCTGGGTTTATATCTGGATATTTCTCCCAATTACCTTCACTTTGTATATCTGGATATTGCTCCTGATTAGCTTATGGTTTTGTATCTAGATATTGCTCCTGATTAGATTCAGTCTGGATATCTATCTGGATATTGCTCCTGATTAGATTATGGGTTTTATCTGGATATTGCTCCTGATTAGATTCAGTTTGGATATCTGGATATTGCTCCTGATTAGATTATGGTTTTGTATCTGGATATTGCTCCTGATTAGATTTATTTTGGATATCTGGATATTGCTCCTGATTAGATTATTGTTTTGTATCTAGATATTTCTCCTGATTAGATTCAGCCTGGATATCTATCTGGATATTGCTCCTGACTAGATTATGGTTTTTTACCTGGTTATTTCTCCTGATTAGATTTATTTTGGATATCTGGATATTGCTCCTGATTAGATTATGGGTTTGTATCTGGATATTTCCCCTGACTAGATTCAGTCTGGATATCTGGATACTGCTCCTGATCAGATTCTGTTTGGCTATCTGGGTGTTTCTCCTGATTGGATTTTGTTTGGCTATCTGGGTGTTTCTCCTGATTGGATTCTGTTTGGATACCTGGGTGTTTCTCCTGATTGGATTCTGTTTGGATACCTGGCTATTTCTCCTCATTAAAGCCACCCGAGGGATTCCCACGTGAAGTGTCCTTTGATGGGAACAACAACCCCTTGGACCTGGGTGTCCCTGCCTCTGCTCCTGAGCTCTGCTCTTCCAGAGCCTGGATTTCACCCCGGCGTGTTCATCCAGACAGTGCCAAACCTGAGCCATCCCTTGGCTTCCTGAGCGTTCCCAGGAGCAAAGCTGAGTCACCTCTTGGGATGGGGTGGCCAAGGAGCTCCCAGGTGCCAAAGCACAGAGAGATCTCAGCTCGTTCTGCTCAGACCCGATGAGCCGTGGGAGGGATCCAAGGACAGGGAGACAAGGCTGATACTTCCATGAGGACACGGACAAAGCTGCTCCACAGAGCCCTCTTTTCCTGCAGGAAGGACACAGCAGTTCCACCTCCCAGCATCTGTTATTTCCCACAGCATGGATGACCTGGAGGCAAAACCAGTCTCATTAAACCAGAACCAAAACACAGCAAAGTCAGAGACCAAACCCCACCTCAGCCTCCTCTGCCCTTCCCCACCTTCCCAACCTCCCAGGGATTCCCTGGATTCCATGTGCACACAGAGGCAGCTCCAATGCTGAGCCTGTATTTAACCAGTATCCTATAAATTTAATTTGGAAGGTCAAGACACAACACAGCTGCTATGACTTTCTTTCTAGTAGTGAAGTTGCAATTTTTTGCATTATTATTGTTTGAAATTATTCTGGAATATCATAGGATTCATTCCAGCCATTGGCATTATCCTTCTTTTTTCCTCTCTCTTTTTTTTTTATTATTATTAAATTGCAAAGAGATTTAATTATCCTTTTTTTCTCACTCTTTTTTTTCTTCATCCCTTTTTTTAATATTAAAGCATCAAGACAGTTGTTTCCCCAATAGAAACACTCCTTTAAACTGTCAAATGGGTCATTTCAAGCCCAAAATTAAGTGGCCTATATTTAATAAAAAGCTATGGAATATTATAAAAGCATAAAGGAATTATTGTCATAGGTAAAAAAAGCTCCTCCATAGATGATGGACCAAATTCAGCAGTGACACAACTACACAGTGGCAGAGAAACTGTGCTGAAACCAGGAAAAAATTAAAGGGAATGGGGAATATGCTACAAAATGGTTCGTTTTGTAGCTTCTCCCAGGAATGCACAGGGAGGAAGTGCTTTGGGAATGGTCCTTTTACACTGTAACCCCCATCCTTTTACACCTCAAACCACAAGGTCAAACACTCTGCATCCAGATGGAGCAGTTAATGTCTGTGTCCAGGACAGGATCTCCAGGGGGACATTTCCCAAGCCACCAGGATTTAAGGAGAAGATTATTATTTAAGAAGAGTTTAAGGCACTGGGGTTTAGGAAGGGGAGCTGATGCTGTGTAGTTTGGCTCAGCCAATCCTGCACTAATTCAGTCAAGCCCTCCTGCAGCAGAGATGATGATTTTAGTGAAAAAATTGAATTTCCACCTCTTGAAACATTGGAGATCTTCACTCTCCTGCCGAGCAAACCAAACATCACCAGCAGCTCTGGTCTGCTGCTGTAACAGGGGCTATGAGGGACACTTGGCTTCAGGTTTTCCAATCCCAAACCTTTAAAACCCTCTTATTCTGCACCTCCCTGAGCTCAGCAGAGCTTTTAGTTATTAACAGTGTGAGGCCAAAGCAATGTGGGGACAAAGAGCCAACCCACCACATCCCTGCCCCCTGGCTCTCACTCCACATGACTCCCCAGGCCCTGCTCAATCCCTGGGAATAAAACCTCTCTGCTCAACACCTTCATCCTTTCAACACAATCCCTGTCAGATTTTCAGCTCTGCCACCACAGAACAACTCACAGTGTCCACCCCTCCCATCCTGTGTGCTCCAACACATGGGCTGCCTCCAAACCTCCAGGTTTTCCAGGAGAGCCCTCCCTGTCCTCTCCATCAGACCAATTCCTTACCCTTATTTAGCAAAACAGACCTCCCAAGTGCTTGTTCCCTCAGGAAAGCTCAGGAGATCCCACTTCCCACAGCATCCAACCTCCCAGATGGGCACCACCAGCCTTTCTTTGCCCCCCAAAATCCCCATGCAGGGGCACAGTGCCTTTCTCCAGCCACAATTACCTCTGGTCTATCCAAAAAAATGTGGAGGAAACCAGTGTCCATAATGAGAAAATAACAGTGCCCTGGGAGTCCTTCCATCTGGATGGGAGGTGGGAAAAGAGTCTTCAAACCTTTGTCTTTCAGCTGATCAAGCTCAGGGTAACCTCTGTGGTCAAACACACTTCTCTGCTCACGCCTTTGGCTGGGAAGGGAAGCACAGAGCAGATGTTTTAGTTTTCTCTGCAGCTCTAAAAATCAAAGGCATTTATTTACTTGCAAAACAGAACCTGTGCATTAGAGAAACAAACAGTGGAGGGTGGGAAGACCTGCCCAGAGGGAGATTTCTCCATCCCAGTGAAATCACCTTGCAAATGACTTCCTAAAGCTGGTTTTGCATAGGTAAGAGCTGGGACAAATGCAAGGGCAGGGGCTGCTGGGGCACAAATGAAGTTAAAAGGTGTGATCTCTGAGGCTGAGTGGAAAAGTCCTTTTGTCCCCACTCCCTTCACAGAATCACAGGATCATTAAGGTTGGAAAAGACCTCCAAGGTCATCAAGTCCAACCTGTGAGCAAACACCCCCTTCTCAACCACAGCAGAGCACTGAGTGTCCCATCCTTAAACACCTGCAGGGTGTTCCTCGAACACCTCCAGGGCTGTGATTCCACCACCAACCTGGGAAGCTCATTCCAATGCTTAACAACCCGCTCCAGGAAGAAATTATTCCTGAAAATCCTTCCCTTACTCAAGGGAAACTTCCCTTTCTCAACTGCAGAACACAGGGTAGAAAAAAATGACCAGCAATGGCTAAAAATGATCTTCAGCACAAATAAAATGCTGTTTAAATGTGGTGCCCTCCCAGCCATCCCTCCTGGTCCTGGGAAGGTGCTGGACCAGGAGCAGAGGGGATTGGATTCCCTCCTGCTTCCAACCCACGTGGACCTCACAAGCAGCATCTCCACACTTCGTATGGCAAAGAAATCACCAACAACCCCCTGGATCTTTCCAAGAAAACAATTTAACTTGGAATAAATCAAAAACCCTGTAAAAGCACTCGAGTCTGGAGTCCCTCAGTGGAACATTTTCCTGCCCCAAACTCATCTTCTGCCCATGGGGTAACACACCATGGCTGGATCCTGATGGGAAATCCCATTTGGAAGCATTTTAACCAAGATCCATTGATTTAAAAATCTTCTCAAATTCACAGTGCAAAGAAACAAAACACTAAAGGTGCCTCCAAAAGACCCTGGGACCTCCAGGGTCCCAGAGCTTGAGTAACCAAAGGGTTTCCCAAGGAGCCCAAGGAAACAGCCCCCAATTTTCACTGTATTCCAACAAAAACCTGGCACAACACCTGAGCTCCTTTGGAAAAAAAAACCAACAAAACTTCATTTAGATAATTAGTTCTCTCAGTACCAACAGACAGGGGACTGGTTCCCTGAGTCCTGATTAATTTTAACACCACAGGATTAAGAAAGCAAGGAAAAAACATGGAACTGGCTTCTCCAAGAAGACACTGCAGCACACACTGCTGCAGTCAAGGAGCACTTAATCCTGGGTTTGTGCCATCCAAACAGCTCCCAACCTCCCCGGAGGTTTCAGGAGGAGGAAATGCTTTTCCATCGTTAGTCAGTGATTCCCAGGTGTAATCCTGGAGGAGGAGCCTGGGCACCCTCTGGATCTGATCCCAGGCTTGGCAGGACTGATTCATGGGGGGGGCACCTGCTGGGGCCTAAACTTCCTTCAAGTGGTTTTACACATGCCAGGATTAAAAGCTGCTAAGACTCAGCTCGGGCCTATCCCAGCTCTGGAAGTCGGTGCAATCAGGGATCACAAAAGGAAGCTGCATCCCTGACTCACACTTGAATTATTTTATATTAATATTTTATATTAATTAAAGTCATTGAACATCACTGAGGGTCCTGGTTATCAGCTGCAGGTGCCCCTTCCTCCTTCTGTATTCCTAGAAACCTGCTCTGGGTCATGGAAAGTCAGGGAAGAGCTTTTAAAACGTGGATTTAGCCCTTCCTAAGTTCACAAAGTAAACGTCTCCATGGCCAGGCTCTGCCCTTGATAAAAAAATAATCTCTAATAACCAAAGCTGTGACTTCCCCAGCACTCCTCAGATGCTGCCATCAGATAAACCCAGGCACTGGATCCAGAGGAAGTTGATCCTGATGTTTATTGTATAATAAGGAACAACCTTTATCATGCAATAAAATCCCCTCCAAGGGCTGGGCTGGAATTATTGCAGCTGGTTTTGGCACGTGTATGGGAATGGGTTTGCTTGGAAAACTGGCTGGGAATCACAGAGACACTCAGGGGGCTGGGACCAGGGTGAGGGGCAGGAATTTTTGGGTTTAACCCATGATCTGCCATCTCACATTGACCCTTTCTTGGCCCCTCGGTCACTTTAAACACAAACCCACTGTGAGAAACACCAGGTCCCAGGACACTCAGGGGGACAAAAATCTATGTAATTCTGATTTTAAAGGAGAGCAAGAGGCTTTTTCACAGCTGTGTCCGGTCTGGGTTTGGGGTGGTGGCCACGACACACCCCAGAGATGCTCCAGCTCCCAACACTCCCGAGGTTTCTGCTTTTCCCTCAGGCCACATGACAAAAGCACAAAGCAATTTCAAATAGCTGGGTGAGGATCCCACAGCAGGGCCTTCCAGCAACAGGAAACACGGCTGCTCCTCCTCCACCCGCCTTGCCAGAGACCATGGGTGGTTTCTGCTGTTTACTCGCCCTCAAACCCACTGACAACAGGAACATTTGGCTTTTTTGGGAGCTGGTTCCAGCCCTGCAGCCGTGTTTACAACGCAGAACATCATTAGGCTGAAATTCAGCAGAGTTTGGATTAAAAAGTTTCACTTCCAGGGGGATAAAAGCCTCCCCAGGAGGTGGGAGGTGTTTAGAAAATAACAATAAAAAGCTTTAAAGGTACCACAGTGGTTTCAATGAAGTCCATGGGAATTTAGCAGCAACTGTAATGAACAAAAATCAAATCAAGTGTTTGGAAAATCAGAAGTTTCAGCTTTAGCTGAGAGATCCTCATGGAAGAACTTCCCAGCCTGCAGTAATGACAAGGAGATGGGAGCTCTTGCTCACGGCCACGGGCAATTCCAGAAGTAATTCATGGGCCAAAGTCCCATTGCCAAAGCAGACTTTGCCTCCAAAGCCACCACCAAGCTTTGCAAAACTTTCCCCTACAGATATTCCTCACGTGGGCCCAATGGAGCAGGGATTGTACCCTGGAATGGAAGAGGCAAAGAGTGTCTTTACAGCACTCCAGTGATGAATAAAACATCGATAAACTGAGCTCCAGCCTTTGGTCAGGCAGGGAAAGGGAGTCACAGCCCCCCTGGCTGAGACAAGGGTGGTCACAGGGATGGGATATCTGGGACTGGGCTCTCCCAGACTCCAACTGCTGCTGGGATGCAGCTCTGAGTGCCTGGAGGAAGAGCAAAGGCACTTAAGATATCTGAGAGCCAGGAATGAATCTGTGCCACAGGAGAAAGCTGAGCTGGCAGATGGGAAAAAGTAGGTCTTAGAATCCTGGAATGGTTTGGGTGGGAAGGGACCTTAAAATTAATCCAATTCTACCCCCTGCCATGGGCAGGGACACCTTTCACTAGCCTAGGTTGCTCCAAGTCCTGTCCAACCTGGTCTTGGACACTCCCAGGGATGGGGCAACCACAGTCTTCCATATCTCTAAGCCAAATTTCCCCTTTTTCAGCTTGAACTTATTCCTCCTTGTCCTGTCACTGCAGTTCCTGCTGGAGAGTCCTGTATTCTTGGACACAGCCTTGTGTTCATCCACCCGAGAGGAGCAGCACGACAAACACCAACATCCCCTTTCTCACCACGTCCTCCCCACAAGCCTCAGCTCAACAGGGGGTTCAAGACCTCACCCTGCCCCAAACCTCTGCCCAGCCCAGGTCAGAGCTGGAGCACCCCAGGCTGGCCTGGCAACAGCCAAAGGGGGCTGCAAACCCCACCATGGTCCAGAGAGCACCAGGGTCCTCTCCACGGGCAACCAGAGCTTAACAGCCCCCCTGTGAGACCCCACTGGTTTCCCTTCACTCAAACCCTCCTGCACCCCACGTGTGTCCTCAGACACCCCTCAAATGTCTAATTTTACAGGCTGGGAATGCAGAACGTGCACATGAAAGCAGATCCAGGCTGAAGGATCACTGGGGAATGCCAGGGAAATCTGCCAGTTTGGGGCTGGGTTGAATTGTGAGCATTGCTAAAAGTCAGGCTGACCTATCACCGGATCTGGGGACAGGAAATACTGAAGAGAACTGAAAATCTCCAGATCCAATTGCAGAACTGGGTGTGAAGGTCAAGGCAGGGAGATAAGGAGATAAAACTGCCGTGACCCACAATTAATCTCCAGCTCATCCGCTGCTCTGAGCCGGCCACGGGCACACACATCCCATCCCATCCCCACCCAGGACAACACACAGGAAGAGGAGCAGGGCTGGGAGGTGGCAACTCATTAACCTGCAGCAACAGCAGCACCTTTCCCAGCATCCACACCTCTGTGTTCCAACCACAGCTAATCAGTGCATTCACAGAGAGGGACTGACAAAGAGGAGACCTTTGGGCCACTGCGTTCATGTTCTCTGCTCCTACCAGAGGCACCTCAACTCCATCAGCACACAGACAAATAGGAGGCTCTTCTTAAACCCATCACTCCGTGTGGAGCTGATCCAGTCCCTCCAAACTTACTCTGCCTTAGGAGTTCGCTCCTCACCCGGATCCCACGCCAGGTCTAATTACACTCAGCACACAGCTCTGAGCCAATGACTGCAGGAGACCCCATGGGAGTCACAAATCCATCACCTCAAGAACCTTTTTACTCCTCTCCCTGCTCTTTCTGCAGACTCCTTGGCTTCCACCAAAACCTTTCTTGTCCCAGCCCCCGTGACACGTGGCAGGAGTGAATCCTCCAGGAGCATTTGCCATCTTGCAGTAAAACCAGCAGGATAAGGCCAACATAAGCTTGTTATTGGCCAAGAGCAGAATCTGGGCCATCTGATGTTTGAGACTTATTAATTCAGCTGCAGCTGGTAAAAGCACAGTCCTAAAAAAAGTGTGAATTCCAATAACTGGCTCCTGACTAATCCGCTTGCGCTGCTTTCTGCTGCAGCGCAGTTAAATTAAATGGTGCTCGTTAGAAATCCACCTTCCCCAGAAGTCTCATTAGCCAAATTAATATGGTGCATATTAACCCTTCCAAGAGACTGATTTTAACACCAGCCTGGGCTCTGGAACATCCCTCTAACCCTCTCAAAAGGCAGACCCAGCACCCAAAAAACAAGTTGCTGGCACTAAAGTGTCCACAGCAGAATCATCCCACACCACATCCCACGATAACTCCGAGTCCCTGGAATAAATACATAATGTAAAGGAGACAGGGAACAATCTCCCAGTTAAATACACAGTGAAATCTGAGGCAGAAATCTTCTGGAACAGCCACCTACAAGTCAAAGCTTAACCAAAAAGTGGGAAGGTGCCCAAGACTTGACACGCACACCTGGATATTGGAGCAGGTGCCAAAAACATCCCCTTTTTTTGGGTTACACTGACAGATCACTCATGTGATCATCTTCCCCCAGCCTAGGTAAAGAGGCTGAAACACAGCTGCCATTATTGCCACCAACCCCAAACCTTCTGTACAAGACTTCGAATGAGACTCAGAGGTTGGATCTTAACAGCACATGGAACACATTGCAAAAAACATAAATTTTAACTACAAACACCAACTTCTAGAAGAAACAGCATCTCCCGAGTCTCCCCTCCTCAATTCCTTCCCCTCATTACCAGACACAGCTACAGTTGCTCCCATTTACAACAAACAGCTTAATTTACATTATTACACCACCAGCATCCCACAAGCAGATCATTTGCCAAATCACTGGCTTGGCTTTTCCTTATCAACACACAGAGATTACAAACACTCTTCTGGGTTAAAGCAGCGTTAATTCAAGCAGTTCATGAATTCCAAATAACAGCTCCAGCTTGCCAAGCTGAAGACCCTTAGTCTGGTCTACACGGCCCTGTTTGTTAACGGGACACCCCAAACAAACACAGAAGCACATCCAAGAACTGGATCCATTGCTGCCATTCCCAACGCAGGTGGAGCAGCACGTCGATGGAATAAAACACGTTAGTAAGAGTTAGTCAACTGGAGAATCAAGATTAAAAAAGAACAACAAACTTCTTTCACATTACAATTCAGTCCAACCTCTTCCACCCCCTTACCTGTTTTAGGGATTTACACAGCGCTTTGCCCCGGGAACAGGCACCTTGCAGAGCATCCGTAGGGTGGAAGGCACTGCATCCTAGCAAAGATCCTGCACTATGACAGCACTAGGTTCGTTATCCACGGGAGTTAAAGTATGTCAAGGCAATCAGGGCAAAGTGCCACTCGAAGCGTCTTCATCGCACGTCACATTAACTGAACCCAAGCAACGCCACGAGAGGTTCTGAAGCCAACGATGCAACAGGGGCAGCTTCCTCTTGATGACGGTCCTCCAACACGCCCTGAAGTCTCCTGCAGCAAACGTGGAGTCGTGCTCCTGCTCGGGAACAGCTTCCACGGCCCAGGAGCCCCCGGCACAGGAGAACGTGGCACGGGATTTTCGGGATGCCTCCGATTTGTGCTGACCCCGGGAGGCGGCTGCAAGGGGACCCTGGGGCGTGAGCAGGGTACATGCACATCCGAGGCGTGCTGGCTTCAAAACCGGTCAAAATAAGGCACTGAGACACCAACTCAAAGGTTTAAATTACCGCCTCCAGCTCTCAGGAACTCTTCATCCATTCAGCACTAAACCCACAACTGCTGAAAAGCCCCTGGAGACAGAGGAGCGCCTCGTTTTATTAACAGCACTTAAACACTCTTAAGGACTCATTTCTCTTTTCTTTTGGCAATTTTGGTGCAAAGGTGGCTTTTTTTTTACGTGCAACATTCAAAGCAATCTCGAACCTTTTTTTTTTTTCTTCCAAATTAAAAAAAAAAAAAAAACAACAAAAAACCAAAACCAACAACCAAGAATCAAAACTAAAGGCAAAACGCGTTGGGTGAACAAAGCAAATCGAGAAACTTAAAAATTCAGGAACTCCGGCTCTTCCAACCAGCGAAGCCCCAAGACTTGGCCACAGTTGTGAGACGCAGGGTGGTGCTTCCCTGCTCCTTGTGTGCCAGCAGCAGGACCGTTTCCCTGTCCCGGTGAGGAGTGAGGCAGCGAGTGACCCCCTTTTTCACCACAGACCAGGGGGGGTCACAGCAAGGCAGTGAACTAGAATTCCTCCGCTTTGGCACAACAGGTCGGTCAACGCGAAAAGGTGTCGGTTTCTCTCCCCTGTTCTTGCTCAAAGCCCCACAACTATCAGCTCAGACACGGGGCAGCAGCAGCAGGGACCCCTCCGCTGCCGACACCGGGGCCAAACGTTTGTCGTCAATTCAACTCCCAGGCAGAAAAACCATTTTTCCTCAAAAGAAACAATTTATTTAGAATGAAACAAAATCAGCTCAACTGTGAGCGCATGTTTGAGTGACAGCTACTTTCAAGCTGTGTGAGCCATAAAAAGGGTATTCCTTTACTTTTTTTCCAGCAATCTTGTGTACACAGCACAAAGCAAAGAGGTCATTTTTTTTTTCCACTTAAAACACGGGCATTGGCATCACAATAGCAGATACACAACTTTTTTTTTTTTTTTTAAAGCTGCCATTTTTAGTAAAATGCACAAATACTAAACAGATAAGCTTTCTTCCATCAGGAGGCCCATGGAAATTCCACATAAGCCACAGCTTCTCTTCCCAAAGGTCCATTTAGAGCTTGGTATCCCATGTCTTCTGCAGTCCACCAGATTTGCTTGCAGGAGGAAAGAAAACGTTATTTCAGTACAAATGTTTACACCAGATTTGGGTTTTTTTTCCCCCTCCCTACATTATACAGATGAACATAAACAGCTACGAGGCCTTTCTGAATATTCTACTTGGATTTCAAAAAGCACCAATTCCACCCGCGGGCACAAAACCTCGGAATGAAGTCGCCTTCCAGGGAGAGATGCAAAACAAGTAGTGCAGGGCTTCGTTTTGGACCAAGGTTAAACTAGGCTTACAGTACTGAGGATTACCCAACTTGCAGTAATAGCTGATGGGACACACTGAAACCATTAACCACGAGAAAAACCAACCCAATTACGGCTAATTGGGTTGACTTTCCTCCCAGGGTTATTTCCTGAAGGCAACTTATCACCAAAACCATGAAATGTAGTGTTGTTACACAGCTCTTCTGCCCTCGTTTGGCTGCGCCAACAGTAAAGGAAAGGTCAAATCACAGGCACACCCCATGGAACTGAAAATTGTTACTATTCAAGTCATATTTCTCAGCCATCGTTCGCACACAATCAGAACTGCAAGAAGTTGAATATTCAACGAACCATTCTCTGAACCAGCCGGGCTGTTTTAAGCCTGATGCAAAAATCACCTCGTCGTTCAGTCTATGAATCATTGGAATATCTGTCCTTCAATGCTACAAAGCGGGGGACAAAGGGGAAAGAACCCCAAAAGCTCTAGAGCCACACGGCATCATTTCTTCCCCTCCGGGCACACAGACTCCCCAGGAGTCCCTCAACACTGTTTCACTTAGAGCCAGGAATTACCATTTTCCAAGCCATTTTTCCCTGAGTCCTCAGAGTTTTTGAACCTGTCTTCACAATTTTGATTCACTCCTCCTCTCCCATTAACACTTGAGGCCTTTCACCTCAGTTGCCATCAACCAGAGGGTTCCCAAACCCGTGGAAGAAATTTCAGCTCATTCTCTGCTCTCCACAGGAGCCGAGAAAGTTGTCACCGAAATATTCCATCTTTAACATCCTCGTGGGAAAACAAAAGAGAGAAGGCAAGATTTGCCTGCCTGGCCCTTCTCTCTGCAATGCTGACAAGGATGTGTTGGTATCTCTGACCCTAAAACCTCTGGATTGAGAGTAACCTTGGTGTTCCCACCACAGCAGCTCAACAGGAGCAAACAAAGCAACTGGATGGAGGCCAAGGAAGTTGCGTAATGTTTCTAATTAAAAGAAGAAAAAAAAAACCAACGAACTAAAATCTCCAACAAAACTATGAGTCATTTGAGGTTCTTTCCCTAAAGCATAAAGCACAAGGGTGAAATGATTCAGGAAAAGGACATCCTTTTTCCAGGCTAATCCAACACACCAGTGAAATACAGGAACATCAGCTGCACACAATGTGGAGGAAAACCGAGCTCTCGCCGGAGCGACGGAATGCCAGACACAAGGAGAGAGCCAGCAACTGCTACATCTACTTTGTTCTGCACACAGTGGTATCACCCACGGGCTTCTGAATGCTCAGCCCTGGCCAAGACAACTTCAGTGGACAGTTACTCCAATGGGGAATCCCTCAGACCAAGGAGGAAAGCACAGCCCATGCGGGATGGCAGCACTGGAATCCACTGCTGGCAAAGGGCTGCCAGTCAATGTTTTGTCATAAGAACCCTCAAAGGGTGTTAAAATCCTTGTTTGCAAAACAGAGCAGCCACCACAAACAAACCAGATTTAAAGGAGATACTCCACGAAATAAGGAGCCAGAAAACCTGGAGTCAAACACACCCTCACCTGCTCCTTTTCACCCTCCACCGCAGCACAGTTTGGCTCATAACAACCAGTGGTAGTTAAAACCATCAGGATTTTCCAAGAAAAGCGGAAGAGCACCCAGGATGCTCTTCCCACACTGAGTTTGCCTTGACCAGCCACGCTGACCCCAAGTTTTATGGGCTTTTAAGCAGGTGCCTGCTATGCCTCAGCGGAACAAACGCTGCTCTCAGCGACTTCCAGTGTCCAACACAAACATTAGTGCTTTTTTTTTCCTGGTTTGGGGCAGATTTGAATTCCCAGAGGTTCAAGTTTCTTTCCTAGAAAACTCTGCAAATGATTCGTGTCGGATGCAATGAGAAAACCCCCTCTGAACACAAGTAGCACTTGAACAGAGTTGATCCCCTGCTGACACACAACAGACACCTGCTCCAACCAAAACATTCTTTGCATTAAGTGGTAAACACTCTGGATCTTCCAAAACACAGTGATTTGCATTTAAGGTGTCATTCCCCAAAATTCTCGTTGTTAATAGGAAGCTGAACAGCTGAATTCTGCCATCTCTTACATTCACCCTGAAGGACAACCCAGAACTCCTGAGTTTTACCCCTCAAATTTAAGAGCATTAAATGAGGCTTTTATCTTCTCATTTAGAAAGAAAAGGAGCTGTAAAACCAGAATCTCCTGCCACATTGGAATTCTTAGTTCTTGGGACACGGTGTCCACTCGTTCCAGGCAGATAAAGGAATCAAAGTGGCTCAGTAACAAAAATTTCTATTTTTGTGGCAGAAACTCAAGCAAGTTCAGTTACACCCATACAACACATTCAAGACATTTCCTCCTTCATCTCCTATTCACAACCTATTCCCCATTTTGAATGTGATCAAGTTGTAGCACAAATCAACCCATCCCTGTATCCATCACCCAAGGAATCTATTGGAGCAGCGTTGCTTTTCCGTGGCCCAAATCCCTGAAAACATGGCTAAGTGCAAGATTACATTCTGGGTTTAAGTGCAAGATCACAATTTTGGGGCTTGTAAAGGGATACAGTCAGATTTACACTTCAGTTTAGAAGTTGCTGCAACATCCTTTTGGTTGTTAAACAGAGCACTGGGGATTTAGATCCCCTCAGGGATTTAAATCCCTTCTTCCCTCCTAAATGCCTGGATTACCAAAGTGGCTGAGACAGCTGAAGAAAAGTGCCCAATTATTGGGGAAAAATAAGAGAAAATTAACTATGTTCTTTGAAAAGAAAAAATAAAAAAAGCAGAACTGTTTCATCCTTGAATCACAGGAACAAGAGCTCAAACCTTGGCATCTCGGAGTATTTTTAATACTTCTCCAAGATGCTAAAACCATTTTCCTCCAGGTGCCTAGAAAATTATAAACCTCATGTAATGCCCACTGCACTGTACCTGAAGAGTCCCTAGCAGACAGCAGTTCCTTGCTATTAACAAAGAGGTAAAATGTTAATGAGAACTTTTATGTAATTAAATTATCCCAGAATTAAAAGCATCTCTGGAGAGAAGCACTTACTTACTCAGAGTTTGGAACCAGACCCCACTGTACCTGCAATTCTTGGAAAACACAAAAAAGGCAGTAAAACCAAAAACCCACAACAGAACTCAAGTTCTCCTTAAAGCACCTCCTTGTTTCCTGCACACAGGAGTGAGCACAACATTCCTGGTTTGTAACAAAGTTCCCAGCTTGTCACCAAACCTCCTCACTGCTACAAACCCAAAACATGTGGGATACACCGGGAAATGGGGGGATACACCTGGGAAAAAGCCCAGTTTCAGTGCATGCACCTGGGGGTGGGGGGAGGGCTGGATGAGAAAGGAATTCCTTTCCCAAAAGGAACTGTGTTCTGCTGTGCCACCGAGAGCAGGTGCTGCTCACCTGTAAAACATCAACCTTGATCCACTCGACCCAAAGGGGAAACCATTCCAGCTCCCAAGGGAAGGGATCCCCAAGGCCCACACGGAATTTCAAAGGCTCAAAAAAGGAGCTGACACCAGTCTGTCACTAAACGTGTGGTTTTCCATTTCCAACGAGTGCTTTAAACCTGGTCTGTTGGGTTTGGAGCTCTGTCGGAGGACAAGCTCTTGGACTTGCTTTAAAAAACATGAAATGAAAAAAGGACACGAATCAAAATCAAGAAGACGGGAGTTTTTTCTTTTCCCCCTCCCTCCCCCTCCCCAGTTCTCGTTTTTCTTATTTTTTTTTTTTATTTTTTTTTTAAATCAAAGCAGGCCTAGCCTCCCTGCTGTCCCCACTGATAGGGAATTCTCAAAATATCCTATTCACACTACGCCTAAACCAACCTCTCTGGCTTCTACCTTTATAGAAAAACGTAGTAACAGAAAATCAGGCTGGGAAAGTCACCTACAAACAAAGGTCTAATTAAAATAACAACAGGGCTGGCTAAGGCTGTATCCCATAGCACCTGGCACACGCTGGAGGGGCTGGGTGGAGGAGTAGGCAGGGTTGGGAACAGAACACGAGGGCCCTTAGGACGCCCCCCGGACAATGATCATGACCAGATAGTCGTCCTCGGATTTGGCCAACGCCTTGGCCGTAGAGTCCAGGAACTGCTGGGAGAAGTCGCAGGGTGGGAAGGCGTGCAGCACCCCGCTGTTCTCCTTGTCTTTGTTCCCCCCCACGGGGAGGCTGATCACCCCTGCAGCCTGCTTTTGCTTTAGGTAGGACACCAGATTCCTGAGCGGCCTCTGCGTGGAGGTGGTGGCAGGCTCGGCGGCTCCGGCAGCCGCGCGGTTTTCCGCCGCGCCGGGCACGGCCAAGAGGATGGCGTAGCCATTGGGCCCCGCCACCTTGATGCGCCGGTTCACCTCGTCCAGCTTGGGCTGGTCCAGCCGGAGCCGCTGGGTGATCTTGAGCTGGGCCACCTTCCCCCCCGTGGCCCCCTCCACGAGGAGGCTGCTGGCGACACCGAGGTCCCCCTGGAGCAGGTGCATGTTGGACGGGAAGTTGCTGTTCTTCAGCAGGAGCATCCCCTGCCAGGCCAAGCACAGCTTGGGCGCCGCCCCAGCCTGCGCCGCCCCGTCCTGCTGCTGTTTTTGGGGAGGGGGTTTGAGGCGGGAGCCTCCCCCGCCTCCCTCGGCCGCCCGCTCATCCTTTTTGGCCGGGCTCTTGCCCTCCTGGGCGGCGGCACCGCCGCGGTGCTTCCGCTCGCGCTCCGCCGAGTTCTTGCGGTCGCGCTTCTCGTTCTGCCCCCGCTCCAGGCTGCCCCGGCGGGATTCCCGCACCGGGGACGGTCGCTCCAAGAGGAGCAGGCGGGACGAGCGCTCGGGGTCGCTGCTGTAGCGCTCCCGGCCCCCCAGGAGCTCGGGGCTGCGGTCCGGCGGGGAGCTGGTGGCCAGGCAGTGGCGCTTTCGGGAGGACGAGGAGCGCTCGCTGTCGGGGGAGCGGTCCAAGTGCCGGCCTCCGTCCTCCGCCAGCCTCCGCTTCCTGGGCTGATCCCGACTGCTACTGCCCAGCTCCCTCTCCCCGCGGTCCCGCTCCAAGGACCACCCGTCCCGGCGGCGCTCCAGGCTCTCCAGTGGGTCGTAGGCAGCCGCCCGGTTACTCCTGTCCCGCACAGGGGGCGGCGGGGGCACCCACTCTGTCTCGGGGTAAAGGTCTCTGTCGCGGTCTCTATAAAGCAACGGTGGCGTCCTGTCCCGGGCCCCCCGCAGAGGGTCGGGGGGAGCTCCCCGGTGAGCCCCAAAAGCAGCCGCCTCTGCCACGAGCTCGTAGTGAGCCGGGGGCGGCAGGGGCAGGGGCTGCAGGTAGGGCTGCTGGTACCGGTGCTCGGTGTCGGCAAAGTCCACGCGGAGCCGGCGGTCCGGGCCCCCCAGAGGGAAGCCCCTCATGTGTGTGCAGGCCGCCTGCGCCGCGTCCAGGCTTTCGTACTGGATGTAGGCCCAGGAATCCCCTTTGCGGTAGTCGATGGTGCGGATGGTACCGAAGCGGTCGAACTCCCGGGCCAGGGCGGCCAAGGGCACCCAGGGCCCCAGGCCGCCCACCCAGAGCCGGGTGGTGGGGGTGGCTTTGCCGTACCCGATCTTGATGGGGTTGCGCAGCAGCACCTTCCCCGACATGGCCAGCTTGGCCCGGTGCGCCATGTCCAGGTTCTCGAACTTCAGGAACCCGTAGGTGCTGGTCTGCCCGCGGCCTGGCCTCTTGATGTCCACCTCGGTGATGACCCCAAAACGGTCGAACGCCCGCCTCAGGTCCGACTCGCTCACGGTGATGTCCAGGTTGCCCAGGAACAAGGTGCGGTTGGCTCTCTGGTCATCCTCGGGGCTGATCTCCTCCTCGCCGGCCGCTCCGGCACCGCCTCCTCCTCCCGCTCCTCCTCCTCCGCGGAAGCCCCCGGCCGCCGCCACGCCGGCCACCCTCTCCAGCCCGTAGGCGGGCCGCACCCGCGCCTCGTAGAACCCGCCGTAGTCCCGCTCCCTCTCCAGCTCCCGCGGCAGCGGCGGCGGCGGCGGCGGCAGCCGGCCCAGGGCGAGCTGCTGCAGCCGGTAGTCCCGGTACCCCAGCGCTCCGCCGCTGCCCGCGGGTGACAGCGCCCGCTGCGCGGCCCCGGCCGGCGGGTGCCGCACGGCCGCCGCCACAGCCCCGACCGCCGCCGCCGCCCCGTACGGAGACTCCTTGTCCAGCAGCGCCGGGGAGCGGCTGCTGCGCCGGCGGCCGCTGCCGCCGCCGACATAGACGGCCTCGATCTTCAGCGGGCGGTCGTAGAGCACCAGGCGGCCGCGCGCGTGTTTGGCCGCCCGCGCGTCCTCGGGCCGGCGGAAGTTCACGAAGGCCACGCGCTCGTCGGTGCCGGAGCCGGAGCCGGGCGGGAGGCGGCTGATCTTCACGCTCACGTCGCCGAACCGCTTGAACTCGTGGAACAGCCCGTCCTCCACCGCCTCGTCGCTGAGCGCCGAGCCCAGCTCGCTGATCTTCAGCGTCTTGTACTCGCCCGGCTCCGAGGAGGAGGAGGCGGCGGCCGCCCGCGATTCTCCGCTGCCGCGGCTGCTGCTGCTCCGCGACGCCTCCGCGGCTTTCCCGCTGTAGCCGTGCCGGCCCCCTCCGCTCGCGGCCGCGCCGCTCTCGTACTCGCGGCTGCCGGCGCGGCCCTTGTCCGTGTGGGCGCCGCGCCGGCCGCTCCCGCTGTTGCTCTCGCCGGACGCCGCCGCTTTCCCGCCGTTGGAGCCGCCGCCGCCGCTGCCGGAGGAGCCGCTGGGCTTTTTGGAGCCGCGGGAGGAGGAGGAGGAGGATGCCGAGTCCTCGCCGCCCCGGGAGCGCTTGGCCTTGGCGGGCGAGCGCTCCTTGCCCTTCATGGCGGCGGCGGCCGCGCTCCCGCCGGGCCCTCCCGCCCGCCCCGCTCACGCACCCGCCGCCATCTTGGGAGCCGCGCCGGCAGCGCGCGCCGCCGCCCCCCCACCCCCCGGCTCCCATTGGCTGCCCGGGGCGGTGCCCGCGCCCATTGGCCGCCTGCGCGGGGAGATACCGCCCACCGCCCGGCGCTCCGCGTTCCCATTGGCTTGTCATGCTGTCAGTCCGCCCGCCTGCCCCCAGGGAGGGGCGGGGAGAGCCGCAGCCCGCTCATTGATCAGTTAGAAAGGGCGCGGCGTTCTGATTGGGCGGCCCGGCTTGTCAATCGTGGCGGTTCAACCACGGGAGGATTTTCGCTGCTCGTCGGCCACTGGGAGGAACTTATGTCCGCCTTCTGATTGGCTGCCGTACCTGCCAGCTATTATCGCCCCGCCCCGCCCTCCTCCATTGGCCCCCTCTCTCAGACGCGGGTTCCCAGCGTCCCTCCGGAACTCTCGCGAGCCTCTCTTTCCCCGCCCCCTGCCCTCATTGGTCACTACTCGCCGTCACTGTGCCTCTCTGATTGGCTGAGCCTTACGCCGCTCAGGGAGAAGCGCGCGCTTCCGCGCGACTCCACCCTCAGGTCCCCATTGGACGAGAAAATCTCCTCAGCCATCTGATTGGGTGCAGCGGAGATCAGTCACGTTTGCGCCGGCTCTCATTGGTGGCGGCGGGGAGGGGGGTGGTTCCCCGGCGGGGCTCGCGGCGCGGCCGCCGCTGAGGGCTCAGAGCGCGCCGGGCGGCGGCGCGAGGCGGGGCGGGGCGCTGTGGTGCCCGTGAGTCCCTTCAGACCTCACCAACAAACCCGCTGGGGTGGGAAGGGGGGAGCTCGGCTACGTTCGGTGCTTTTTCCGCCCTCTCACTGTTTCCTTGTACACATCCGCCCCAGAGAGTACACGGAAGCGCTCCCGGCGCGGCTGTGGGAGCCCCGCAGGGCTCTGGGACTTCCCTGCTCTGCTCTGCCCGCTGAGGGACCTTCAGGAGCTGCAGGGCCCTGTTCTGCCTCGAAGTCTCCGAACCACTGCCAATATTGCCTACTTAAAGCTTCAGAAAAACAGTGTTATTTCATCTTTCCTCAGAGAGCTGGAGCTCGGCTCAGTGGCCTGGGGAGGGGAAGAGCTTTGGGTTGGGCCTGAGGGGAAGGTTTGGAGCCACTTCAGCCTCTGGGTCAGGGAAAACACATTCCCGTGGGGCAGGAATGGCTCTAATCCCTGTGTTTTCTGAGGATCCCAATCCCGCTCTAATCCCTATATTTTGTGAGGTTCCCACTGCCATATGGTGCCCTGGGCTCTACCTCCTCTTTCCCCCTCTCTGCTCTGCCTGTGGGAGTTGTAGAAGTGTTCAAAGGGTGACAGAGCTCTGGCAGGGCTGGATTTCCCCATCCCTGCTGGAAGTGCTGCCCCCGCATCCTACAGTCCCAAAATCATTCCCCTAAACCCTAATTCCTCCTCAAAACCCCCCTAATTTCAACACCCAAACTCCAATCCCACCCCTCCACCCCTAATTTTACCCAACCAAACCCCAATTTCATCCCCCAAACCCTAATTTCACACACCCCCCCCTGGCTCCCCCCTCCTGTCAGGGGGTTGCAGAGCCAGAAGGTCCCCCCGAGCCTCCTTTTCTCCAGGCTGAGCCCCCCCAGCTCCCTCAGCTGCTCCTGCTGCTCCAGACCCTTCCCAGCTCCCTCAGCCATTCCTGGTGCTCCAGCCCCTTCCGCAGCTCCGTTCCCTTCCCAGGACACATTCCAGCCCTTCAATGTCAGCAGAGGCCCAAAACTGACCCCAGGATTTGAGGTGTGACCCCACCAGTGCCCAGCACAGGGAACAGACACTGCCCTGCTCCTGCTGGACACACCATGGCTGGGACAATCCAGGTGCCATTGGCCCCTTGCCCACCTGAGCACACCTGTGCTCACAGTCAGCCGCTGTCACCAGCACCCTTCAGGTCCTTTCCCAGCGTTCCAGCCCCTCTCCCCCCACCTGGAGCATTCCGTGGGGTTGTGGTGACGCAAGGGCCTTGTTGTCCCTCACACTGTTGGCCTTGGCCATGGATCCAACCTGTCCAGATCCCTCTGCAGAGCTTCCTGTCCTCCAGCAGATCCACATCCCACCCAATTTGAGCTGCCTGAGGGTGCCCTCAATCCCCTCATCCAGATCATCAGTAAGGATGTTAAACAGGACCAGCCCTAAAACCAAGCCCTGAGGAACCCCAGTAGTGACTGTGTAGAACCACAGAATTCCAAGCTGGTTGGAAGGGACCTTGAAGCTCATCCAACACCAATGGCTGCCACGGGCAGGGACACCTCCCACTGTCCCAGGTTGCTCCAAGCCCCGTCCAGCCTGGACCTGGACACTTCCAGGGGTGGGGCAGCCACAGCTTCTCTGGGAATTCCATCCCAGCCCCTCGTTGCCCTAACAGGGAGGAATTCCTTCCCAATATCCCATCTAACTCTCCCTCTGGCAGTGGGAAGCCATTCCCCCTTGTCCTTTCCTTTCAGGCCCTCGGCCAAAGTTCTTCTCCAGCTCTCTGGAGCCCTTTAGGCGTTGGAAGGGGCTCCAGGTTCTCCCTGGAGCCTTCTCTTCTCCGGGTGAACATTCCCAGCTCTCCCAGCCTGGCTCCAGAGCAGAGGGGCTCAGGTCCCATCATCACCTTTGTGGCCTCCCCAGGACTTGCTCGAGCCACTTCCCAGGGAGACACAGCTGAAGGATAAAGCTCAGGCATTACGATATCCCCCTGGAAAAGTTGTTACTCTGTCAAGATGGTACCATTTTCCAGCAATACTTCACTTCAAGAGCTGCTGGAAAGGTTTCTGGAGGGCAGGTTGGAGTTGATGGAGGAATGAAACCTAGCACACAGAGGGTTTTAGAGAGCAAATGTCCCAGTTTACAATAAAAAGGCATCATTTCAGTCTGGATCAGATGCCCCCACATCCCATGCAGAGACCTCTCCCCTCTCTGCCTGCTCCTCTCCTGCGTGTCCCAGTGTGTCTATAGGATCATGGAATGATTTGGGTTGGAGGGACCTTAAATCTCATCTCATTCCACCCCCTGCCATGGGCAGGTACACCTTCCACTATCCCAGGTTACCCAGAGGAGCTGAGGAATTAATCCTCAAACAGGTGAGGGGAAACTGGGGAAAAACCTATTTTGCCATATTTCAGCTTCATCCTTGAGGTTCCACATGGTAAAACATGGCACAGCTCCACTGGCTGGAGAAGAAATCCATCACCAAGGTCCTCTCTTCAGGTGCCTGGGCTTGGGAGAGAAAGACAGGGATTAAAATTCCTCAACTGATGAGTCACGGAGTGAAAGACACCTTGGAGGAGCACTGGGCCACATCACCCTCCTGACAGACATTTAATCTGATTTCAGGCCTCCTGGTCCTCTCCTTCCAAGGGGAGGCTCTTCTCCTCTGGGATTTTTCCACCTCTGCATCAGCTGCTGCTGATTCGGATCTCTATGCATCTCTGGTGTGTTTTGGAGGAGGTTTGGCACTGGGAAAAGGCATCACAGCGTTGGGAAGGAGCTCTGGAAAGGATCAGGCTCTGTCAGGCCATGAAAAACCATCCGGCTCAGGCAGGAATGTCCCCCTGGGCCCAGGCTGGATAAGGAGCTGTGCTCTGCTCTGCCTGTGCTTAGATATAAGTGTATGAATAATTCAGGTGCCAGATGGCCCTGGAGCCCCTGGCCTAGATCTAAACATCTAATTACATCTGGTGTCCATGGGATTGGGCAGCCACGTCCCTCTGTGGAGCCAGGCTCATCCCGCAGGACACCGGGGTGTTGCAGAACCACAGAAATTTGCTGTTTGCCTGCAAAACCCCACATTTTCTTGGAGTTTAACTGTGCATTTTACTTTGCAAACCTGGCTGGAGTGGATGGTGGAGGAGCAGGTCAGTCTGATGGAGGAGCAAAGGGCTCCTGGCAGGATACAGAGCTCCCGCTCCAATCCCGCTGATCCAGGCAGGCTCGTGAGCACCTCGGCTGGGGAGGCATCTGCTTGTTTGCAGTTTTGCATTCAGAAGAGCTGCCTTTCTTCCAGGAGATGTGCTCAGATCCCAGCTGGCTGCTGGAGACGTGGAAATCCATTAGCTCCACTTAGGCGAGGCCACAAGGGCCCTCCCGGGAGCGGAGCTGCCGCGTCCTCCGACCCGGAGAGGAGGCGAAGCTTCCCCCCGGCGCGGCGGCTGCGATCCCCGGTGATCCCTGCAGGTCAGGCCTCGCCCGGGCCAGCAGCAAATAAGCTGGAGAACATGCCCCCTGCGGGATGCCGGGGAGGTTTGGCAGCAAACAGCTCCCAGCACCTCGAGGAAAGCCGGGAGAGAGCGGATTTCTCCGTGCTGCGTCCGGCTGCACGGGATGGGGACTTCAATATCCCTCCCCCATCCCTCTGCCTCTGCTGGAACCAACCTCTCCTGAAACCAGGCTTATGTTATCCATGTGCAGCGCTGCTCAGCGTCGTCCCCGAGGGCATTGGGGACACTCTGGGGACAGCTTTGGGCCCTCGGACAGGGTGGTCACATCCTGGCGGAGCATCCTCCCCACCGGCGGCCCAGACTCCCCGGGGCTGCCCAGCCTCATGTCCCTGGGGACCCCGGGGCTCTGCCAGAGGGCAGGGAAGAGCAAGGAAGAGCAGGACAAGGAAGAGCAGCCCCTCTCCGTCCCGTTGCCGGCAGAGGGCAACGGCAGCCCGTGAATTACCGGGTCTGCTCCGGCCCCGCTGCCGCAGCCCAGCCCGAGCCCCTCTGACCCGGCTCCTCACCCCCCTCCGCTCCCATTTCTTCTCCGTTTCATCTCTTTCCCTCCGGTGCGTGGGGAGCGCTCGAGTTTAATAAGTAATGAAGGAATTTATGGAGCCATTAGTGTGGTAATTGTTTGCTTTCCACCTAATATTCAGAGATTAATGGAGAAGGAAGAAGAAACCCCCAAAGTACAGAAAGAATTAAGGCAGGATCAGGGATCCGGGATCACATTGCAGGGCCACATCCTTCCCAAAGCACTGTG